CGCTTTGCTTTTCTGAAGGCCAGACGGCAGAACAAAAACGAAAGGAGAGCGCCAAACCTGCGCTGGCTTGGTTTCCGCGACAGTCATCCAGGGGGGGCACGCAAGCCAGGCGAAACCGCCGTAGAAATCTGGGACAGACAGACAGACAAGAAGTACACTTCCAATCCAAACATGATCTATATCATGCTTTATGAAACGGACGTGTAATATGGCTGATGACAAACTTGGATTCAAAATTATCCAGCAAGAACGAAACCGTTGTCGTTTGCTAGCTCGGGAGTTTTCCCAGCCACTCCCTCTAACTTCCGTTAACAACCCAAGCTAAAGCTAGCTCCTCCCCTGACATCAAACGAGATTTGACAACACCATTGCTTCACACGAATTACTACTTTCCTATTCGACGGGGACTTGGTGCCATCTTGTGGTATTTTAGAGGGCACAAAAAAATGCAAATAGATGAGGGTCCACATATTATTATTATTATTATTTAAAAATGTATTCTTCATTTGTGGACAGGACGGCGTTCACTGTAAATCTTTGCAAACGTCGCACTGTTATTTATAAGGGCATCAATTTGACGTGAAAAAAAACTTACGGAAGAGTTGCGCCGGCAGTTGTACCCACTGTTGTGACGGGAAGGCTCCACTTTTTCATCTGCACCCGCTTATTTGATTCTTCCTGCACCTTTTTTTTTTTTTGCAGTACTAAGATTTCTTACCCTCCACTCTTACTCGCCGAGCATTTAATATAAAAACGATGGCGGTGATTGTCCCCCGCCAGCCAGTGGCGGGACCACTGCAGGAAATGACATCATTGCACAATCATCAATTAAGTGAGAGGATCTTCTCAGCCATGCGGCCATTAGCTCCTGCATGATCAGGATGCAGAGTTACGAGGACGGTCCCGTCGGAGCATCTGCTTGACTCCGAGCCTTCATCAGAACATTCCTCCCGCCGTAAATAACGCGCGGAAGGCAGCGCGCGGCATGTGAAAGGGGGGTGAGGTGGGGGCTTATCGGCCATAGCGCCAATTTGACTCGATTTGGAAACAATCCCGAGTGGCTTTCAGAGTGATTGGACGCGCGTCTGCCGCCGAGAATGCGAAGTGCTTTTTACGTGGCATTCATGAGTTGCGTAAGAGCTTCCCCGAACTTCGGGTCGCGAGACGGGGCGGAAAAAAATCCGAGACGGCGCTTTCATAGTTTGCGCCTGACTGGCCATTTGGGAGCAAAATTCAATTCCATGAGGGTGAGTGATTTTAGCGACAATAGCTAACGATGCCATACGCGAGATGATTTGACAAAGCTGCCGCTTGGTTACCATGGAAACATTTGCATTGCCTATTTGCATTGCATCCGCTGTATAAGCACCGCAACGGTTGTCAAATCTCAAATTTTGATCCTTGTGCCTGACTATTTTTATTTCTCACTATGAAAGACGCCCAAGCTTTATTAGGAGCCCTCGACAAAGCCTCTGGAAAAAAAAATGACCTGAGAGAATCCTGCAGGTGCCTTGCCACTCTGTTACTTGCAGTTGATGTGGAATAATGATTATGTCACCAGTAGGTGGGCTTTTGGAGTGGGATTATATTTAGCGCAATCCTCTGACTGTCTTGGCATATTGTGAGCTCGCTGCGCACACCGTTGTCATCATGACGTCGAATCAAACCAAACCGTTTTCAGGGAAAAAAAAAAAAAAAGATTCGGAATGAAGTCAACGGAAAGCAAATCTGATCTGAAGAAACAATTGATTTCTAATTATATTGATTTTGATTGAAAAATAGGATCATGTGGCAAGGAGAAATCAAAGAATCCAAATTCTTATCAGGTAGTGACGCCATTTTTTTTTTTTTAGGAAATAAAGTGAAAAATGAGGACTCTATTGATTTTCAATGACATCCAATGTTACCAAGGTTTTTTCAGTTTTCTTTTTTTTTTTTTTTGTGCTTATCAATCACGGCTTCATCGCAACTGCAGACATGATCCAGGAAACATTAGAAATCCCCAAACGGGTTGTCTTTCCGACTTGTCAGCCGACTCCATGAAGGCGTGGCCCCTTGGCTCACCTTAAATGGCGCTTGCCATTGTTGGAAACAAAAGATTCCAAAAAAAAAATAAAATAAATCAACAAATGCGACGCATAAGCCGAACGCCCTTCCTGTTGAAACCCTACCGAAATGCGAGCTCTGTTTATTGCATTCCCCCCCCCCCCCAGAGGTGTGAAATCAATGAAAACTCCAGTGTCCCATTTTACAGCGGCCTCGGAGCCCTTCCGAGACCTCGGTTATTCTCTGCCTGCGGAGCTGCTCTAAAAGCACGCGGGAGAGTAGTTGGTCTGACTTTTTCCTGGACTCGTATCGCAATAAATACACAAACATCGGAACTGTGTATTCCAACCGAGTTGTATTGGAGAAGCGGGGGGGGGGGCGAGGTGGGTTTTGTGTACCGTCAAGGCATTCAAGCCGCGCTCGGAAAAAGTCAAAGTGCCAAAGCTCGTCAAATACCGTATTGGCCTGAATATAAGACGGTGTTTTTTGCATTGAAATAAGACTGAAAAAGTGGGGGTCGTCTTATATTTGGGGTCTAGACATTATACCCATTCACGACGCTAGATGGCGCCAGATATCATTGACGCGAATGCTGAACTTGACTCCCCGGGCCAAAGTGAAGCCCTGCCACGAAGAATAAAAATAAAAATAGCGGTACCACGAAGAAGAAAAATAAAAAATAGCGGTAAGAAAGAAAAGAGAAGAAACTATTAGCAAGTCCTTTGCCGCAAACTCTTTTCGGTGTGTCATCGTATTGCCAAGTGCTTTCTCACTTTATGACCGTCGACGAGAAAAACACAAATAAACACGTGGAGATGGTTTCTCAATTTTGTGGGGGCGGTTGGATAACCATTTCTGATCATTTTCAAATTAATTCCTAATGAGTTGTACTTCCTTGAATTAAATACAGTGCAGAGTGTTCTACTACAAAGGCTGACCTCAAACAAGCGGTACATTTTGTCCAGACAGCGCCATCATCACTCATGAGCGACGACATGTTGACTGTTAGCTTGCGTGTTAGTGTTGCTCCTGTCACGTTCTACATCCCGCGTCTCCTCTGACAATGAGGAAAAAAAAAAACAGTCCGACGATCTGATAACGGGAGCGGGACCTTACTCCATCTCCATTATATTTTGGCTTTGACTCCCAACAACCTTTCGACATTGTGAGACGTGCCGTTTGCGGTCGTAGGTGCAGACGAGCCGCGGGGGGTGGTGGTGAAAGGAACGCTGAGAGCTCACTGACAGGGAGCAGGGGCCCTGACCCCCTGTTCAGGAAGTGTCTGTCTTGCTTTTGAATATGATTTGTCTGCCTGTTTCTGGAGCGTCATCGCGACTCGGAGCAAGGTTGCATCTCGACGCTGTCTCCGCCGCGGAGAAAATGGACGACAAAAAGGATGACTAACTGATGAAAAGGGATGTTGAGTTCAATGCCAGTGGCATTAATTGAAGCGCTTCCTGAGGATTTTTTTACAAGAACTTGCACTTCAAAAGTCATGTTCAAAACTGCTACATCATAAATCATTACCGCAGGGCCATATATGATTAGCACAGGGACATATATCATGACCGCAGGGTCCTATGTCATGACCGCAAATCCGCCGCTTTGTTGCGACACGGTTCAGAAACGCTGTACACCGCCCCTAAAAGAACCATATCTGTTCAACAATGCACTTTTTACTGTCTTTTGACTCTGTAAATCTGTGTCCAAGCGTCGTATTTGGATGCAACAGGAAGTCGATGACTCAATGGTGAACGAGCTGAAATTTGTGTTATTTTCCTTTTCATCTCCCTGGTTACTATCTCAGAAATTGCATGGAGAATAACAAGGCATTATTTTGATCGCGGCTCAGGAAAAATTGTTTTCATTGGAATTGCTGTTCAGGGAGAGTCTATTAAATTATTCGGAATGACCCCAAAAAACACTTTGATGACTTTCAGATCGTAGGATGCCATAGTTTGACGGCAGCTCTGTTTCAAACACGCAAAAAAAAAAAAAAAAAAAAAAAAAAAAAAAAAAAAAAAAAAAACCCTACCGTATTTTCCGGACAATAAGTCCCAGTTTTTTTTTTTTTTTTCCATAGCTTGGCCGTTGGCCGGGGGGTGGGACTTATACTCTAGAGCGACTTATGTGTGAAATTATACATTATTATATCATTTCACGTTATTTTCACATTAAACCGCAATGGGGCGCTCTAGGCCTGTGTTGATGAATCGACGGTGAGTCTGATGGATGCGACGTAGATTTGCAAGGCCCACAGAATTTTCTGTTCTAAGGCTATTTAAACATGTGACCTGTCAGAAGAAAGGTGAGACTCTTCTTTCAGCAGAAAAAAAAGTTTGTTACTATCTTTCTCCGTTCGTTGGCAATCAGCATTAGTAAATTGCTAAGTTTTATGGAAAAGGCCGATTTTCTTCAGAAATCCTTTTTGTAAAAGCATGCATTTCAAACAACTGGTGGACTTTTGCACCACTGCCACCTGCTGGCCATTTTTTTTTTTTTTTTACCATTTAACATTACAGTCAAGCCTGCTCCTTCAGTGAGAAGTTGCATCAGACTCTCTTGCACCCTCCCCCATGAAAAAAACGTGATTGATGCCTTTAGACGTCATGGGGAGGCGGGGACTATGCATTAATTGACGCTTTTAGATGTCAAAGGGTTTGAAATTAGTTCAAAGTGACACAGAGGAGGAAGATTTCATTGGATTTAGTGATTTGGAATGACACTGAACACAGAGGAGGAAGATTTCATTGGATTTAGTGATTTGGAATGACACTGATGGCTTGCTCAACTTGTTAGCGTGATCTTTATGCTACAGTTATCAGAATAACTCGTAATATGTTCCGTGAACATACCAGGCACATTCTCAGTTCGTTGTTGATGCGTCATGTAACGTTAGCATAATCGTACACTTATTCAGCCTGTTATTCTCTACTTTTATTTTTATTTTAAATTGCCTTTCAAGAGGACATGTCTGTTCTTGGTGTTGGATTTTATCAAATAAATTTCCGCAAAAAATGTGAATTATACTCGTGTGCGATCTATAAATGTTTTTTATCGCACACTTATTCAGCCTGTTGTTCTCTTTTTTATTTTCGTTTCTAGATAACATGTCTGTACTTCTTGTTGAATTTTATCAAATAAATTTCCCAATACAGCAAGCCGTATACTCTCGTGTGACTTATATATGTTTTTTTTTCTTGTTTGTAATGCATTTTATGGCTGGCACAATTTATACTCTGGAGTGATTTATAATCCGGTAAATACGGTAATTAATCATTTCGGTGCTTGTATACTAAATCCACAGAAGCCCTTCACAGCAAGACATAATGCTTATTAGTGGTGGTTAAAAAGAAAAGAAAATAGCCACGGCTGTGCAACTCCAGGGAACGTCCTGCATAGTTTTTCGTTTGTCATCACTGGCACAATGAACTCAGCGACAACCAATTTGCAGATCAGGGTTTACAGTTCCAAACCATAGTGCGACAGAGACTGCACCGCTCGGTGGAAACTTGGTTTTAAATGCTCAGCTGGCCTGTCCAACAAGACTCCAAGCGACGGAAACACAATCGCCCGCGCAGTCCGCTTCAAGCGCCGCGAGTCTGCTCGCCCACGAGCGGTTTTGTCGTCAAAGCAGCGGGCTCATCGTCATCTCGGGACGCTGACGCATCCTTTTTGCTTTGCTCGCAATTAGTTTGAATATGGGGACGGTAACGTGATCGGGAGAAAGTCTTCATCTCATCTTTCCTCTTGACATTTCGGGATCAGCTCTCGACAGCCTATTAAGAGACGCAGAATTGCCAAAGAGTTTGTTTGCTTGCTTGCCATCTTCAAAACTGGAGTCAACGCAAGGAAGAGTGTACGCTCATCACAAAATATGAGCGTGATGGCTTCCAGGTGACATTTCAGGATGCACCGAAAATTCACGTTAACCTTTCCAGGTGATCTTAATTTAACCTTCTCTAAACATTTCTAATCGTGAAATGTGTTTGTGCTCTTTGCATGGCTTGCTGTTCGCTCACTAGGAGCTAAAGGGCAAAAGTGACAAGATGTTTAATCCAGGACTTGGACCATAAATTTGTATTACAGTCCTATTGATCCTATGGGTGAAATGGTGACATTGTGAAGCTTCAAAAGGGATGTAAGAGCCATATTGACTTTCAGGGACAGCCGTTACTACAGTGGGGAGCTTACCATGTTATCATGTTACCATTATTGGTGCATGAAAGGATTGAGATCATCCTAAAGTGTCAAACGTCAATATCCCTTTTTTAAAATCTCAAGCGTCCCCCTCATTTCTTTGGCTCTTTCAGTGCCTGCCCCTTTAAAAGTCCATTTCATGCGTGCCTCAATATGTATGGCCTTTCGAATGGGCTCCGATTCCGCTGCGGCGTGAACTAAGGGCCATTGCTTTATATTAACAGTGCGCCACACAAGTGGAACAGGCGCGGTTTCATTACAGTATTTTCCAGCAGCGCTGTCATCACACAGTCGGTGAATTGCTCCCCCCCCCCCCCCCCCCCCCCCCCCCCCTTCGCCCTCCCCCTTTGTGATGGAATCAGACTGGCGATAGCGTGCACTTGTTACCCTAGCGCGATCCTTTAGGGAATCTGGGCCACGATGTCCATATTAAGGCCCATTAACAAAAGGCTCCTCTTTTCCATGCCTATACATTTTCTTCCCCGTGGCGGTGAAAAAGGGGGGAGATAATGTTACGTCCTAATGAGCGGCGGACCTCACACACTCTCGCTTGTTCTGCCTCGGTGGAATCCAGGCCACTGCAGCCGGGACACGCAAACGCACGCGCGGCGGTCATAATATTAGGCACACCTGCTAATGAGATCCAATACGAGCACGGCGGTTTTGAATGAGAGCATGCTAACGGCAAAATGAGATTCTCTCGTGTCGAATCTGTTGTGTGGGCTCATGAAATGTTTCAGGGGGGGTTGGGGGGGGTCGCATCTTTCGTCAACTCTTGACAAATTGAGAGTACAAGCAGTACTGCGATGAGTTCCATACGAGTGTAATGAAACGTGGCAGAGGCACTCTGGCCCAAAAAAAAAAAGAAGCCTTTTTTTTTCTTAACCCGTCCCTTTTGGCTCCTTAGGAGCTGAAAAAATAGGCCTGCTCATAATGGATCTTTTTCGTACCTGGACGCATGGAGTCAAGTGGACCTCTCAGGGTTCTTTCGGAGTCACTCAGGCACATGACAGCTCCTGCAGGGGAGACGCGGTGAATGAAAGCGTGAGCACAATGCCTAAATGCTGTGCAAGGACTGGAAACAAACAAGTGAGATCATATATGGACGATGAATTTATTTCGAGTAGTCGTACGAGTATTTCGGAGCATATAATCAAGAGGAATGGTCATGCAGTACAATGTCATGGTCCCGTTTGGTCTGCTTGAAGCCAGTGAGGTTGCCCCCTGCTGGGCCTTTCGAGGATGCGCGTGTCTCATTTTTTTTTTTCTTCATTTGTCGTCGGAAAAAAATTTAAAAATTAAAAATAAAAAAGTCAAGCATCCTTGCATTTTGACAAAACAACGTCCCTAAAGTCTTGCGTAGAGGATGCGCGTGTCTCATTTTTTTTTCTTCATTTGTTGTTGGAAAAAATTTAAAATTTTTTTAAAAAAAGTCAAGCATCTTTGCATTTTGACAAAACAACGTCCCTAAAGTCTTGCACGCATGCATTTCGGTGGCATTGGATAGAACCCTTGTCCCTCCGAAATCACAATTTTTTGGTTCAGTCATTGAAATTGCGTCGTCATCAAGCGCGAGCCATTTTCATCTATGCATTTCGGTGGCATTGTCCCTCCAAAATCACAATTTTTTGGTTCAGTCATTTAAATTGCGTCGTCATCAAGCGCGAGCCATTTTCATCACTTCAGACTGGACAATAATTTGTCAAGCTTCCATTTCGGAAAAAGAAAAAAAATAAAACTGCTTCATTTCAATCGGTGGGTTATTTACCATTTGGGCCAAACGACGCAAAGTGTAACCGTTATGCGGAGGGCAAGAGCAGCTGGCGAGACAAATAACAGCGCCGCCATAGCGCAGAGCATCTCAGGTCATGATGCAAAGTTTGGCCTTCGCTCTCGGCCTTCCTTTGCAAGTCGAGGAGGCAAAATAAATCAATGAGGCCGCTGCTCGCGTTTTCACGATTCGGCTGTGCAGCTGTGACCCGAACAGCGGCGGGAGAAGACATGTTGGCAGACCACCATGAGGAAAATGAGTCACTGGGCCCTTGGGTGGGTGTATTTCTTTTGCAACCAACCGCGGAAATGAGGGAACACCTGAAGGTGGTCTGTCTAATTCTTCAGAAGGAGTTCCAAAAACCAGTTTGGCCTCTTGGCTTGTTGTTTTTTTTTAGCTGAATTGTTGTGAAAAGTCATAATGGGTAGGACATATTGGAAACGGAACCTCGGACACGGAAGCCACTTCATGAAAAGTTGGTCATTGGTGGACCGACTGTAGTTGCCGCACTATAAGGCGCACCTAAAAGTATTCCATTTTCTCAAAAGCCAACAGTGCGCCTTATAATCCGATGCAAATTCTATATGGATCAATATTCTGATTTCTTGTCCTTGGTTACAGCTGCAGCGGTTGTGAAAGATCTATGTCAGTAAAGCTGTATTGTATTGTACTCCTTTTAGCGTCGCTCCATCTTGTGGATGCATAGCGCAACCGCATCTACTATTGTAGCGTCTGTTCTTTGCGCCTTATAACGCGGTGCGGCGCCCTATATATGAAAACCGTTTTAAAATCGGCCATTCCTCGAAGGTGTGCCTTATACTCCCAAGCGCCTTATAGTGCGGAAAATACGGTAATTCTATTTGATGGATTTTATTCAACACTTAATCTGACCTGTCTTTTTGTTGCAGCGTTGGTGGTGAGGTTTTTGACTCGACGCTTCATCTGGGAGTACGACCCAACCCTTGGTAAGAGATTCCTATGAGGGGGTAAAAAAAAAAAATCCAATACGTTTTAATTGCACAGTTTATTTCTGTTATTAAAAAAGTCTCATCAGTGCCCCTCAGTGTGCTATTCATGTCAATTAAAGTCTCCCAGTTTATGTATTCATGCAAAAACATAAAAACACAGAAACTATATTAATCCCGCGTACGGCATCGGTGGCAGGATTTCATCGTAAAGTCATCCATATTGCAGTCACAAAACGAACTCCGGTGTGGACTGCAAGTGCTTCCCACAAGAGCAGAAGAGCGGAATGGGAATCAGAGCACTTTGGAGGGTGTCCAAACATGCTGTCAGTTTATCAGTGCGCATGTTGAGTGCTGGCCTGACGGATTCATGATTACGGTGAGCGCTTGCGTTTGGCTTTCTGGGGGGGACAACGCAGATCATCTCTCCCATTAAGCACGCGGCCTGGATGTTGATCCAAATTAGCACATATTTCAGTGTTGCCATTGCGCGTTCGCTGCCAGGAGAACCGAAGGCACCCATGTCTGTCACTGCTAATCAAACTTGAACTCATTTATGCAACCTTCAACTGCGCACATAAACATAAAAAAACAAAGCAGCGACGGGTTGCGCGGGTTATTCCGCGACGGTGTCCCTGAGACAGACGAACATTTACAATTGCATAAATGAAAGCAACAACGATATGAAATAACCACGTTGGCCAACCGTTATTGTACCGGGTCACATCATTGACATTCGGGAAATGTTTTTTTTTTTTTTTTACGGCACAGCACCAAATAAAAATATCACAAAATGTATCCGGTGCCGTCGAAACAACTCCCAATTGTACTTTCTCAAGCTACTCTTTGTAGATGCTCCAAAGTGCCACGAGATGCGGGCAATGCGTCGCCTTGATCGGAAAGTAATTGGTGTCAAGGAAGTACCGTATTTTCCACACTAAAAGGAGCACTGGATTTTGAGGCGCACCTTCAATGAATGGCCTATTTTTTTTTCAACGCACCGCATTATAAGACGCAATCTACAATGCATCCACTAGATGGAGCTATGCTCAAGGAAACACCAACAGAACGATCAGATGTCAGTAAAACGTATTTAATAAAGCAGCGACACAGTTCACTTAACCAACAGCAAGTTATAACATTGACTTGTTCACGATGAAAACTCTTGCCGCTGCTCTCTTTCCGTGTTCAACTGTGAAACCGATCGCCTTAAGTTTGAACTCGAAATATTACCGTAATGACCATATACAAGTCGCATCGGATTTTAAGGCGCGCTGTGAGCTTTTAAGAAAATGGAAGGCTTTTAGGTGCGCCTTTTAGTGCAGAAAAATATGGTACGTAGAAGTGAAACATCCCGACCGACGTACACGCACACATTTGGGGGAAATCCATCATTCATGTTGTAAAATGAATCTTGAAAAGGTTTGGGGATCAGACTTTGTCTCACCGGGCAGTGAGAGTTCACTCGCACAAAGATGGTGGCGGCACGTCAGGAAAAACGGCGGGCGCTGTCAGCAGCCGACAGAGTGATAGCGCTAGAAATAGGCTCGTCTCGCAGGACCCCAACCCGCAGACTCCTTCTCAGCCTCGGGCCAAACAAATAAATCCCCACGCCGCTGCTGATGCCGCCTCTAACTGACGTCACTTGAGAAAAAGCACCTGGGATTCCGAAAAGGGCGACCATGCCGAGACTTGAGCCGTTTTTAAACTGCATTTTGAAAACACCGGCAACATGACAACAATCTTGACATGATTCTTTTAACCCTTTAAGGGACAGCGGTCACGACAGTGGACGGCTGATCATGTGATCAGGTTACGTGAAAGGGTTAAGCTCCAGTTACACAGCGTCCGATCGTTACATAACGTTCCTCGAGTGGGTTAGTACACACGTGGGGACGAGGCTTTGCATTTGGCTGTTTGGATCGCATCTCGCCACTCAAGCTTAAGACAGGCGGTCCATTAAAGAGACGAGCCCTTGAAGCCCACTGGAAGCTGTTTAAAGTTGTTGGCCAGGCGAAGAGAATGGCGGAGTGTTTTAGTTTTCAGATCTTTCTCTTCAAAGTCCTGGAACTCAAATGGTGGCGTTGGGGGATGGGTGGTAAAAGTGGACGGATGCTGGAAGTCCCTGGTGGGTGCTAGCAAAGTTGAAGTTCGCGTCATTCGACTGGAATTCTGTTATGTTTCGTTCAAGTGGCTATTCTCTCTGTTAGGAAATCCTCTTCAGTCCAAAATTTTGACTCTGCATGATATTTTGGATGACCCTGCAGGAGGAACAAAAAAAAAAACAAAGGCTGATGCGGAAATTATTTTCTTTGTTCCAATGCATGACGCACTTTAACCGCTCAGGACAACAAAAATGAGAGTAGAATCACAAAGAGGAAAAACACTGTCCAACTCCCCCCCACCCCCAGTTGAGCTATTTTACGCCAAATCCCGGAAACATTCTCGAGATTACAAGGCGACCACTGTTTGTACAGATGTGGTTTTACAAGGGGGGTTGAGGGGGGGGGGTCAATTCAAGCAGATAGCTTGAAGTTAAGAACACGGAGACCTGCTTGTTTGCACAGGCCAGAAGTGAGGATGCGGTTATTGCACATCACCGGGAACAGGACGACGTGGGGGTTTATCCTGAATTGCATGAAAAGGAAAAATAAATAAATAAATAAAATAGGATGCATTGTTTGTGCCATACAGAATCCACCTATCGCCATCAAGCCAATATCGATGATGAGGTTGTCACCATGGAGATACTGGACACGGCAGGCCAGGTGAGATTATCGTCCCCGATATACTGGAAACTATTTATCAACTAAATGCATCATTATTTCAAAAAAAAAAAAAAAAAAACTGCCTGGATATGTTCAGTGCTCAAAATGAAACAGTCAAACGCGCAAATACAAAATGAGAACACTCGCAAGGAGCTTTGAGCAGATAAGGTGGTGAGTGAGAGCGCCGGGTCTTCCATCTTAACCCTATAATGCCATTCGTATCATATTTGATACATGCAGTTTCATTATGTAACTCGTTTTTTAGAGTACATTAAATCATCTGTGTCAAATTTGATACTGCAGGTTTAAAATATGATTTTCCCCAAATTTTCAGTTTTTGATGTAAACGACATAATGCTTATAAATGTGATACAACAAATATCTAAAACAAAATAATATGGCAAAAATATTTTTGTGGATTTTGTTATAAGGGTTAATGAACATCTCAGTTCCCAAAAATCGGATTTTTCTGGCTATTCCTTGATGGGTCAGGCATTAAAGGGTTAACATTGTCTTCCTCGTGACTCGTCCTCAGGAGGACAACCAGCAGAGGGAAGGTCACATGCGTTGGGGCGACGGTTTCTTCCTCGTGTACGACATCACCGACCGAGGAAGCTTCGAGGACGTGGCACCGCTCCGGAGTCTTCTTGAAGAGGTCAAGAAGCCCAAGAACGTGCCCTTGGTCCTGGTGGGCAACAAGTGCGACCTGGACCACGTGCGGCAGGTGACCACCGAAGAGGGCGAGCGCCTGGCTGCCGAAATGTCCTGCGCCTTCTACGAGTGCTCGGCGTGCGCCGACGAGGGCGGCGCCGTGGCCGAGGCCTTCCACGAGCTGTGTCGCGAGGTGCGGCGGCGCAAGGCCGTGCAGGGCAAGGCCAGACGCCGCAGCTCCACCACGCACGTCAAGCAGGCCATCAACAAGATGCTGACCAAGATCAGCAGCTAAGGGAGACTGCCGGGAAAAAGCCGCGAGAGGCAAAATAAGACGAGGAAAAAACGTTTCTCATGTACAGTAAATGTTCACTGTTGATTGTCTCCCAAATGGACTGGATGGGACTGCACTAGGTACTCATTTGTCACCAAAAAGTGCAAGATATCATGCCTTTGGCGCCCAATCTCTGCAAATGTCCAATCATCATGAAACCCATTAGAGACAATGACATCCCGAGGGACGGAAATGGACCGCTATTGTATCCCGCTTCTGACTGCAGGTAGCTAATATCGTCACCTCATGGATTCATTCTTACTCACCAGTCCGTTTCCATTTCGCTCGATAAGCGAGTCAGTGCGTAATTCCGATTGGGCGCTCATGACAACCAGGCAGACAGACGGGTCGCTCGCGCTCCGTGTCGTGTCTGTGGGAAATAGTCGTAGACAGGATGTGTGTGTAAAGGGTTACGTCAGCTGGGGGTTGATTAAAAATCAAACGGCGTGATTGTCAAGCCAAAGAAAGACGTAGTCGACTGTCACTTGCCTGCCTCTTGATTAGATGAACTCGAGTTAAAAACAGCGGTGCCTTGAGAGACGAACGACCCGACTTAAGACTTTTGGAGATTCGAAAAATGCTGTTGTTCGGATCCTTAAAAATAAATAAATAAATAAATAAATAAAATGTGACTTTAAGTGAACTCAACTTGCTTATTGAGCAGCAGTTACGATTTATTTTTAATCATCGATGAAACTGTCGATGTTTTCAATTCATCACATCGGAACAACAAAAAAAAAAAAATTCCATCTCCCTTCTCCCAAAATTATTTATTCATATTTTATTTTATCCCCATGCGAAAAAAGAACTATTCTTCCTGAAGCTTACTGAGGAGTTGTTACCGTCTCATTATATGTCTGTCTTGTACCGCCACCAGATGACCAAGGCACGCGCGCCAGAAGGAGCCGCAACATTCAGCAAATTAATCATGAGGCACATACAGGATGGTGATGCCTCCACGGGGAAAAAAAAAAAAAAAAACTCATCATTTAATTGAATAATTAATAATTACGTAATTTTGGGCAGGCTGGAACAGTTTAATGGCATTTCCATTCATTTCAATGGGGAAAGACGATTTGAGAAGGCTTCAAGTCACAAACATGAATTCGCGGAACAGTATCGACCGACGCTTGTATCTAAAAGGCACCACTGTATGTCGTGTCGGAAATCGAACCAAAGCTCAGAATGTCCCGAACCTACGACGAGAAACAATCACGTCCATACTAACATGCATCACGCTCCAGGGGATGTTGTTCTAACAGTATGTAAGCCTTAAGCACTGCTGCTGCATCTTAGCCGACATGTACAGTGAACGTATGTATTAAACCGATGTGTGTGTTTTTTTTTCCAGTATGTGACCTGTCTACCTGTCTAAATGATAACAATTAAAAATGAAATGCACTGCACACTGCTATCTCGCCGCGGACATGTTTTTTTTTTTTTTTTACATGAGTGTGAATGTCATTTGTAGGTGCTCGTGGCGAATTTGAGGGCAGCTGAGGAGGAAAATAAATAAATAAAACGGGTGCTGTAAAATATCACATTTACATAACAGCACCCCCACTACCACCACCACTTCACGTTTAGTGCCCGTAGCTAATTAGCAACGCAAGGTAAGGCAAATATTTTGACATTTATGTCTCTGGGGAGATGCTGAATGAACTCTCACCACCCACATAAACTGTTTGTACAATTTACAAAGCTTGGGAAATGGTCATTTTTGTTTGGACTCAACCTCATCCATTTATACTGCGATTACAATTTAAGATTTGATTTTTTTTTCTTCAAGGTCCTCTTCTGATTTATTATTATTTTTCGATTTATTTATTTATCCCAACAAAGGCAATAGAAGCATCTGTTACACCGATGACTCCCAAATTTATTTTACAAAAAATATTTAGGTCTCATTGGCTTGTGCTGGAATAAAGACAAAGGGAGCTATGATGACGGTTTATCTATCTACCGTATTTTCCGCACTATAAGGTGCACCTAATAGCATTTCAATTTCTCAAAAGCCGACAGTGCGCCTTCCAAATGGATCAATATTCTGATTTCTTGGAAGTAGAATTGTAAATGTTCTGTAGAGCGCTTTGTTACAGCTGGAGCGGTTGTGAAAGCTCGATAGAAATAAAGCTGTATTGTATTGTATTGTATTGTATTCCCTTTAGCAATGCTCATCAAGTGGATGCATAAGGCAACCGCGGCCACTATTCTAGCTTCTATTCTATGCGCCTTATAATGCGGTGCGCCCTATATATGAAAATAGTTTTAAAATAGGCCATTCATTGAAGGTGCACCTTATACTCTGAAGCACCTTATACCGCGGATAAATACGGTACTTCCATTCGAGTTGTTAACTTTGAATTGCAGCCGTTGCGATTCCAAAACTCCATTCTACTACATTGCGATGTCGATTTGAATTCGATGAATTGTTCAACCCTAATTTTCACTCATTGGTACAATAGCAGCTGGAACCTCAATACAGACCAGGTAGCCGGAAACTTACAGCATCCAACGCAAGCTCCAGACTGTTTGGTGATATCAAACCACAATGACCTTACCCGTAATTAAAATCCACCAACTTTCTCCAAATTAGCCAAATAGACCTCCCAGACAGTGCCAATGACGATTTTGTTATTTCTAAATATCCACAGATGGCCCGAAAGCACAGAGACAAAATCATCAAGTGACGAATGAGTAAAAGAACTCTCCACCAAAGTTGTCATTGGCGTCACGCTTTGTGACTTTCGGCTTGTGTTTACTTCGCACAGTGGTCACGGCCGACGTCACGAGAGGGGAGATGAGGAGGAAGCCGGGTTTGTTATGGATGCTGTGCTGTCCTCTTTTGGTCGTTGATTTTATTTTTGGGCTTTTTTTTTTGTTTGTTTGTTTCTGGTAACGAGACCCTCATTGTAGCGTTACCATGACGCTGAATAAAGAGAAGTAGATTGATGATGTTGAATGCGTCACAGTGGCATGAATGTCACAGTGCCAGAGTTAAAGAAAAACAAACAAAAACAAAACAAAACACTGCATTACATTCACAGGACGGGCCAGACGTGTGGGATGTGTCTATTTGCTGGACGCAACCATCACTCTGCGAATCTCATTAGCGTCTTCCGGGGAAAACAAATGTCTCCAGTGTGCACGTAACTCTCTCTTGTGTCCTCACAAATGATTCATCTGGCCGTACTTCCTGTTTGTTTAAGCGCTCATGGGTAAAAGTAGCTCGAGCCGATTTGGGCACACGGTGATAAACAACCATGAGAGCGCAATGATGGACGGACGGCGGGAGATTGGGAAAACAGCGCAAATAGTTTAACGCGCAAAGTAATCCCAGGAAGATGGTAAAAGTTCTATCCTGTGGCGCAGATTTTTTTTTTTAATGCTTCCCGCTTGATGGCATTTTTTTCCATTATGAGACTGAAAGAATGGAATTTGAGTTTCCTCACGAAAGGGAGCTAAAAGCCCTGCAGAGAGGAGTAATGTTCCCCTCATAAACATCGACATGGTCCTTTTTTTTTCAGCTCTTACAAACAACACGTCGTTCTTCTTTTAGCAGCTGACAACATGTTTAAGTTGAGCTTACTTCCACCGCATCACTTTCGAAGACAACCCGATCCATTTGACTTAAAGGTCACCATTGCGAAGATGATTTATTTATTTATTTATTTTTTTTGTGGGTCTCGAAAGTGGATGACATTTTTCTTTGGAACATGGTGTGCAGTTGTACTGGAGATTGCATAATGAGAATTAAAAAAAAAAAGATTTTGTCTTCACTTTTGACTTTTTTTTTGGGGGGGGGGGGGTCAAATGGTTGCTGGAACTCTCCGACCGTATTAATGCCAAACTTCAAAACTAAATTAATGACACTCATCACAGTTTGCTTATTCTCACTCTTCTCAACAATTAACTGACGTGTAACACTATTTCCATAACTCTCTGCAAGTGTTTCCATTTTCAAAGGATCACTTCCACGAAACGCCTGAGGGAGTCACAATGTCCCATAACGGGTGAGCTAACACATGCAGACGGAAAGTGTAACAGCACGACCAGGCATATATTCTTTATCCTTTATTCGAATCGATTACAAACGACACTGCGGCTTGCTCCCCTCGTGACCGTCTCTTTAGTCTGCGTTGTACTGCCCCCCAGTGGCCAACGTGCGCACATCAACAGGAGTAGCACAATATCACATGACTTAAAACACTAAATGTGCAAATAATGGGTACATTCTTGACATTCTTTTGAACCAGGCTATTACCGCATGATTTTATAAACGACATTATAAGGTGCTATTTTACAAGTTTTCCATTCATTTAAAAATTTTACCTCATATGTCACCATTTCTCATTTTGGAACATGAAAGGAAAGTCTGATGCAACTTTTTTCAGACTCGACCGCTTTTTAATCATTTTTTTTTTCCATAGTGTACATCTAAGAGGCATGATAGTTTCCATAGCAACCAAAATATTCCAGTATAGGAGGCAGGTCGAAGACTCACAGGTGACGAGAACTCCATGCTCCCATTTAACTGTATAAAAGCAAAGTGGAAGATAAATCTGCACTCCCCAGATGCACCTTCATGCAGTTTTTAACCCCCCCCCTTTAAAATGTCACCAATCATTTTTGACTTTCAACAAACACGATTTTTTTTCCCCATTTCTGATCCCACCAAATAATTTGTCTGTTGCTAAGAAACGAGATGAAACATTGTCCCGTGGCTCTCGGATGATGCAGATGACGATGATGATGATGCGGTGTCAAAATTGTTTGGGCAGCGCGAACAGGGGGAACGTGTGTGTCACGGAGTGAGTAACCTTGATGCATTCAACGCCACCCGCACTTGTGCAACGTCAAACAGTCTTGGAGGACTTACGTAACTATTGTGTCGCCGAGAAAAATAAAAGTTGAAGGACACTCAGGAACGCGCGGTCCTCCACGAGGCCAAGCAATCCGAACGCGGATACGCAATGTGAAAGCTCGCCAGCCCGAATGTTGTCCTTGTCTAAAAAGATGCAAACAAAACAAAACAAAAAAAACAACAACAACAAAAATGCGAGTGTGAGGGCGTGTCGGAACGCACCAACGCAGACGGACGGAGAAGTCTGCAGGTTGGCCGTGTTTACAGGAGTGGCGCCTGCGGGCAGGCCGGGACCTGCGGCACCATTTGGACATTCCAACCTTGACAATGGCAGAAGAATCACAGTAACGGGGAGATTAGCATCGAACCGTCAATACAAGTGGTCTGGTATGTAAGGAGAACAAGTGCGAACAGCGGGACGGCAGATGATGAGATACAAGAGTGGGGCGGGGGGGCTGAAAAGAAGTGTTTTTGCAAGCCTTCCGAGGTACACTGACTCGCATCAAGCAAGTTCATCATGACGGAGATCAAGGCTAGCGTTCATGTTTTGAAGTGAATAGCTCGTCCAAATGGGAAATTCTAGCAGCTCTATTTCTCAGCAATTAGTCCTGTCCGAAAGAAGCCGAGCATAAGGCGAAAGGATGTGCGGCATCTCAGACGCGGAGTTAGAAAAAAAAAGGAATGCATTTGATATATTTGTATGGCGCATAAATAATGTTCCGGCGATGAACG